GTGGCGGCAGGGTGGGGGCTCAGCTGGGATGGTGCCGGTGAAGGTCAGCGCGCGGCAGGACACAGGACAGGCTCCTCTCTGGAAAGCAGTCAACACATCAAGCCCTTAATGGGATTGATGATTAGTGGAGCACCGAGGGGAAAATTAGATTAGAAAAACAAATGAAAATCATTTCGGAAGTCGTGGTTATTCGGGGTGGAAGGAGCTTCCACTGCGAGGGCTGCAGGAAACGATTTGACTGCAATCCAGAAGAAAAGGAGCGCAGGTCTGGACTACATTAGTGTGGTGGGAGGCCGGGAATAGCAGCCACTTAACCCTGTCATTCAGCAAACATTAGTGAATTATGAGTGTATTATATGTTGGGTTATGTGTTTTGTGAAAAGCCCGGAGGCCTGCTATATCTGCACTAAAATGTTAGCGGGGGTCTGTGTCAAAATGTAAATTTTTATACCGACTCCAGAATAAAAATAAGATTTTGTGTTCGCCTCCCAGCTACTGAAATCAAATTGCAGCCAAAATCAGAGTTGTAAAATAAGCAAAAATTTCCCTTCCCTGTCAAATTAGTGCCCCGATAAAGAGAACAAGGGATATAAATGTGATTTACTTCCTTTACCTCCTGTCATAAACATTTATGGCCGAGACCTAACGATGGATTTCAGGAGGCGGCCGGGCTCTTTGGGGTTTTGCGGTGTGACCCACACGGCGGGCGTTGGAAAGCCAAGCCCAGGGGAGCCCACGCTGCGGCACCCACGAGGGGCGGGCGAGCCCCCGCATCCCTGCACCCCGGTCCCCATCCTGTGTGCCTGCCCCAGGCCCCCCCCCCCCCCAGCCCTGCACCGCAGGGGGTACGTGATACCCCGCTGCAGAGGAGGCTGTCCCAGCTGTCCGGGGGACACGGGCGATATTTCCCGGGTTTATTAACCTGCGGCGCAGACGCAAGCACCCTCCACCATTTTGGCAGAGCTGTATACCCCCATCGGGCACCTCGAGGCTGCAGTTCGGCAGCAGAAACCAAGCCAGCATTTATTAATTATGAGCTTAAGCACTTCCTTTCATGGCTATTTACCAGGGCCTCCTCATTATTAATAAAGAATAATAAAATAGAGGATTTTTAAAGCACATTTGTTCCGCAGGGTACTGATCCCCGCAGCGGGCATGAGCGCGGATACCACCCGGCATGCGGCCTGAGAGCACCGAGCGCTGAAACCCTGATTATAATGACAATCCCACCCCAAAAACCCCTCTATACCATTCTGCACGCAACTGTTTTAAATATCATAAGACATGAACAATGACAGCAGGCTCTGCATTTCAAGGGTGCCTGGCTACGGTTTTCAGTCGGTCGTGAGGTGATGTCAGCTCCTGTGTATAGAGAGATACTTGTAATTCATTAGCTATTTGCAAAGGGCACCAATACTTGACTTCATTTCTGAATCTGTCGAAGGCTGATTTCCCTGCTATTTACCTCCATGGCAGCGGCTGTAATTAGCGGCGGCGCAGGCTCCCACGGGCCAG